GTGAGGGGCAATAAATCTATTACAAGTAAAATAAATTCATACTTACCTTTAGAAGTCTTCTTTCTTCTTAAGTCTTTAGTACCAAAAAAAATTCCAATTGAAAAAAAGAAAAAAAAAAACTTTATATCCCAATGCTACTTTAAAATAAAAAAATACAAGAATAGCAAACAAAAAATGTGCCCCCCCCCCCTCAAGCCTAGTCTGGGTAATGCAAACATTGTTAAATAGTGTGAACAATGTTAAAATTTTGTAGTCCAAATAGCCCTTTATAGGACCGTTTAGTAAATAGGCCCCCATTGGAATGATTGAAATGTAGGAAGAGATTAGGAAGACCAAACCGCCTTCTCCCGGAGCTCCAAAGAATGTTATTCTGTGCATTAAAACAAATTTCTTAATGTATTTATTTTTTATTTGTATTTTTTATTGAGATGGTAGCAGACAACAAACAGATTGCAAAACCAGCATCTAACTGTCATACAGTAAAAGAAGAAATGTTCACAAATCAAATCATAAGGAGAACTTGGACATCTCATTTTGTAATAGAGTAGAATCAGGGGTAGTGCAATGATATCTCATATAGTAATCTGATAGTAGTAGTTTCACTCAATGCAAAACCACTCTTTCTGGGTAACACATGAGATAACAATATAACATTAGCTTAACAGGCTAGAGCTTGTGTGTGTGTGCCTGCTAGTGTGTGTGTTGGTGCCTGCTAGTGAATGAGCTTGTGTGTGTGTGTGCCTGCTAGTGAGTGAGCTTGTGTGTGTGTGTGTGTGTGCGTCTGCTAGTGAGTGAGCTTGTGTGTGTGTTTCTGCTAGTGAGTGAGCTTGTGTGTGTACCTGCTAGTGAGTAAGCTTGTGTGCATGTGTCTGCTAGTGACTAAGCTTGTGTGTGTGTGACTGCTAGTGAGTGAGCTTGTGTGTGTGTGTCTGCTAGCGAGTGAGCTTGTGTGTGTGTGTGGCTGCTAACGAGTGAGCTTGTATGTGTGTGGCTGCTAGCGAGTGAGCTTGTATGTGTGTGCCAGTGAGCTTGTCTGTACTGAGCATGTGTGTGTGTCAGTGAGCTTGTCTGTAGTGAACATATGTGTGTGAGCTTGTCGGTAGTGAGCATGTGTGTGTCAGATGGCAGGTTTGTGTGTGTGTGTGTGTGAGACAGTGAGCTTGTCTGTAGTAAGCTTGTGTGTGTCTGTTTGTCTGTACTACATTTGTGTGATTACCAATAAGCTTGTCTGTGTGTGTCAGTGAAATTGTCTGTCAGTGAGTATATTTGTGTGCATCTGTGAGATTGTGCTTTTATGTCAATGAGCTAATGTATGTCATATGAGATTATTTGTCTATCAAGCTGTGTATCAATGAGCTTGTGTGTGTTAGTGTGATTGTCTGTGTTTGCATGTGAGTATGCTTACTGTATAATTAAGTGCTTTACTCTGAAAAGACCACTATATTATATTAGAAAAATAAATATAAAATATTGGTCCTTTCAGAGTAAAACATTTAATATATATAATATGTAAGGCTATGTACTGCACACCAGTGAAGCCATAAGAATTGCTTTTCCTACAGAAATCATGGCTTGACTGGTGCACAGATTTTTGTTTAACATTGTATTAACTATCCACAGACTTCAGGTGGAAGGGGTTTTCCCACGATAATCTTTTTGGTTTTTGATATATATATATATATATATATATATATACAGAACATAGCCTTACATATTACATGTGACAATACATGGCGCAATGACTTATGGGAATGGCATAGATTTTTTTTTTCCAGGGCTGCTTTGTATCCCCTGTTCAGCCCTGAATATAACTAGTCACCATGGGATGTGATAGCTTGCAACGGTAAGTGCTATTTCTGCACTCTGGACTCAGGTAAGCCCTTACAGAGGCACGGGCCCAGCAAGCCCAGGCAAAATGCTCCACATTCTCCAAGGAATATTTCATGTCATCACCAAGCTCTAATTGAAATGTTAAATGCCAGTGCCCAACTTGTGGTCTCAGAATCATCTTGGTGTACACTCGCAGTGGTGCTGTCCTGGGACTCTCTAAGTGGGAGAACTGTATGAAGGGGTTCTTAGCAAGGGTGTGTGCCATGGACTATTGTATAATCAGAGTCAGACAGACAACCTCAACCTCACCTATGTAAGTCATTGTGATGCTTTGCTGAAGACCCAGAGAGCAAGCTTTACCATGTATCACCTTCACAGGTTGTCAAAGGCCTAAAGTAATGAACCCTTGCTGTGAACTGGTACAACCATTTTGAAACAGGACAAGCACAAGATGTCACAGAAAGTCTCTCAAGCAGTAACCAGATATCACTCCAGTGTGGACTGGGAAAACCCCTACCGGTCCAAAGGAGGGATAATGACTCTGGTAGAAAAGCAGTGTAAAATCAGTCACCTTCCCTACCTCGAGTGAGCAAGCAGGTCTCAGGAACAGTCAATGCTTTTTTTCATAAAAATAAAAATGGCCGTATGATGGTTGAGCTTCCAATGATTCTGATTTGTTAAAAGAAAAATCTCTGGTGCACACCCTGAGGAAATTTGATACACTTACCTATGGTGCACACTTTGGTGAATAGTTATAAAAAAACAGGGGTTTATTCTTAGCTGTTTGTCTCCTAAATCCTTCCTCCTCCAGCACCTCATCGCTCATTGCAGTGGATATAGACTCACATTGGGTTTTAAATCTACAATACAAAACAGTAGCTATAAAATCTTTAAAAAGGCAAATATATTGGGGAAATGCCAAAAGCAGTGAATTCAGTTGGCATTATCTGCCTTGCATTTTAATAAATGTGGTTGATTTTAATAGCAAACCAGTGCCGATAATAAATTATTAATAACATATTTAAAACATCTGACGTCAAACAGTACCCCAGAGTCTCCGTGAGTGTATCAAATGCATACAGTTTAATTATTGTTTCAACAACATTTTGAAACGTGTATATAAAGCATAATTGAATGACTACAGGAGTAATCTATTGTGATAATGCTCTGTCTGCTGAAATATTATGCTTTATATCATTTATTTAATGTTAGAACTTCTATGCATCTCTTTTTTACATAGAATAGTAAGGAGAACAGCATACACAAAGAAGTATACTATTACCAGCAGGTACATATCAGCAGCATGCACACGTCTGCTCAGAAAGTGTTTTGTAGTTTACAATGCCCCTGCTAGGTCCACCTAATTTTCATCGGTAATTAATGGTTTAACAAACACCAGGTTTAATGCAGTTAACAATTTCTCTTTTTTTTAATTTAAATTGATGTTTTGAAATAGCACAACACCCCTCCATCAGGATTTTGCAATGTTTAACTGCTCTGTCTTTCTGTAATGTTGATACCTAAATTGAAATTGTTAACTGCATGCATACAGTACACAGAAGATCAGTGATAGTGAGAAATAATCCACCCCTTTCAAAATGGAAAATGTTACAACTGATTCTTTAGAATGTATGATTTAGGGAGTATATGTTTTATAACTTTCTTGGAAAAAAACTATGACGATTCTAGACAACATAAACACCTGTGTATAGTGATCATTGTAAAAATAATGCTGTGTTCCCAAAATAAAAAATATATCTAAATAAAAAACAATAATGGTTGTTATCATGCCCTTTAACCTAGTTAAGCTAATATACATTACACATTCTTGTAACATCATTTAAATGTCTCCAGAACCCCTTGGTGCAATTATTTTCACCTTATTATATGGTTCACATGTATTTCGTTTTTAAAGGAAGTTTTTCTCTAGAATGAGGGGGTGTTGCTAGAAAGGACTTATGGCGCGGCATTCTGCAAAACATATTTATTTTATACAAAACCTATAAAGATTTGATCATGCAAAAGATACAGCATATTAATGAAGCCATCAAATGCATTAAAGCAATATTGGTGCAGTAGTGTCTCTTTAATGTTTAGCAATGGTGTAGTATAGTGTAGTGGTTAATGTTTAGTGTAGTGTAGGGGTTATTGTTTGGTGATTGTATAGTGTAGTGGTTAATGTTTTGATGATGGTGGATGGTATACATTAAAGGGACACTCAAGAACAACTATAGCTTAATGCAGTGGTTCTGGTATATATACTAAGTCTCTGCAGGTGTTTTAATGTAAACGCTGCCATTTCAGAGAAAAGGGCAGTGTTTACATTACTGCCTAGGAATACCACCAGTGGCAGTAACTCAGACGGCCACTAGAGGTGCTTCCTGGGTCAGTGCTGCGCACCACTGACGTTCAGCATCTCCACGCTTTGTATGGGGACACTGAACACTCCTTATCGAGATTAATTGATTCAATGCGGAGGTGCTGAATTGCGTATTGCAGCGTTTTTCTGCGCATTCGCAATAGCCTCCTATGGGAAAGCATTGGAATAACTGAGATCGTCAAGTTTTATCTCAGTCAAAGAGGCAGAGCCAGGGCAGGGGCAGGGCCAGTCGCAAGGAGACCCGCATGGTGCTGGAAAAAGGTGAGAAAATCACTTTTTGCATTGCTGTCAGAGGGGCCACACACCTAAACTAGGTTTTCACAGCTATAGTGACAGGAACACGTTTGTATTCCAGTCACTATAGTGTTTCTTTAAGGAAGAACTTTCATCATCAATGGGACATACATGTTATAGTGCCTCAATCACAGTGGCAAAAATATCAGCTACATCAATTTTATTGGGTCTGCTTCCAATTGTGACTCTAGGGAACAATATATAGGGGGGCATATAAGATACCACAGTCAAACCTGTGAGGAGGGGGGGGGGGCACTAATACTTTCCACCACTAAATCAGACCACAAAAAAAAAAAAAAATACAATATATATATATATATATATATATATATATATATATATAGCAGTAGAGATGGCAGCACTCATGGTCTTCAGTAAAAACATCTTCTTTATTTGCAAGGTTAAAACATGAGATCAAGGGCTCAACGTTTTAGTCCCTATACAGGACTTTCATCAGGATCAATACAATATATGTAAACATGTAAAATAGACTCACCCGAGGAGCAGTGGATAACCGGCGGCATCCAGCCGAGAGCTGTGCACATGTGTGACCCAAACTCCAACTCCGAAAATGACGTGCAGCGTACATGCGTGGTGACAGCGCACGCGTCACTATACAAACGCGGCATGTTGTCCTTGGTAACCTTAGTTACCCCAGGTGCAGTGTATAACCGCCAGCGTCCAGCCGAGTACTGTGCGCATGTGTAACCCCGGGTGTAATCTGTCACCACACATTCACGCTGCGCATCATTTTCAGAGGTGGAGTTTGGGTCACACATGTGCACAGCTCTCGGCTGGACGCCACTGGTTATGCACTGCACCTGGGGTGAGTCTATTTCCTTCATTATATGTCCTATATATTGTGAGTCTCTTTACATGTATTGTATTGATCCAGATGAAAGTCCTGTATAGGGACTAAAACGTTGATCTCTTTATCTCATGTTATTTGGATAACTAAAGTCCCAGGTTGAGCACCTGGCAAGTATACAACACTATAGCCTGTGTGCAAGGATTTTTCCTATTATATATATATTTTTTTTTCCTAATATATATATATATATGTATATATATATGTATATACATACATACATACATACATAACCAAATATTCAGAGATGGCAAGTGCCATATCTATAGTTTACAAATCAGAGTAACAACAGTACTACGGGGTCTATTGTAAGAGCAGCGATGTTTGCCAAACTTGCAAAAACAGCTTAATTCTTCATTGTTGCAACAGCATGAAATTATGGCATTTCAAAAAAATTTTTAAAAAAACATTCAAACGGCGGCAGAAGAAGCTTCATAGTCTGGATTTTCCTTTTGTGAAAGTTTGTTGCCTTTGCACCACTATATACATACAAAATAGGTGGAGTATCTTGGTTCCTGGGTGCAAGATCTGGGATAATGGCAAAAGTACAATGGGATAGCTGAAAAGACAAAAATATTGACAAGCACCTAGTGCAATATCATACAGTACATAAGTAGCTCAATGTAAGTTGTGTGATTCAGTACTCACAAGTGGGGAGCCAGAGAATAATGGCTCAGTCTAGACGCCTGTGGGATAGTTTGGAGGGATCCCACTCCCTTTGGATGTGACAGCTGTATCTGCGTTCTTTGGTGATCTCAAAAAGGAAGAGTGTCCACACCAAAATATATGGGAAGACAATACTTCCTTTAATAAAAATAATTAGCATATAAAATACAGATAAAACTTTAAACTAGAAAGCAAATTTCTTCTTGTGTAAAACCACTCCAGGTGATGAAATAAAAAGTCCACTTTGGGATAGCAAGACGTGTTTCGCCTATATTGTAGGCTTCCTCAGTTGCTGTTGTTGTTACCTGTCAGTTGGTGATCATTTATGTCCCCCTGTAGTTGTTTAATTTCATTAACCTGTTCGATGTCCGTCTCTCTCGTATGATGCCCTCATTTGCGGCTTCCTATTGATGAAGTACTTCCGGTTTGCGGATTCACTCGTTGTTGGGACGCATATGCATTCCACTTGTGGTAAAAACTCAGTTTTTCATGTCCACTTCCTGTCTCTCGTATGACGCCCTCATTTGCAGCTTCATATTGATGGCGTACTTCCGGTTCTTTGGTTCACTCATTGTTGGAACGCATATGCATTCCAATTGTAAAAAAAACTCTATTGTTCATGTCCACTTCATCGTCCATATAATGTGTATATATTGTATATCAGTCCTCATGTGTATATGGATATACAGAAGAAGTTGAAAGAAGGGGATAATTTTAACAAAATAGTTGTATCATCAAAAAATTATATATTAAAAATATATATAATAAACAGAATAGTAAATGGGGTGTTTAAAATGTTAAATCAAAAGATACAAAATGTATTGTTGATCTGAAACATATAAAGTACCAAAAAAGAAGAAAAGCATAGTTAATGGGAGAGGAGAAGAGCATGTGTATGTAGATAAAATAATCTTACCAGGATGTGAACCTCATAGTGCTTATTGATAATTTTAACCAACTCTTCGATATAAAAAGTGTGCATATTTTATACATCTTTGTGGAGGAACTAAAAATTATAAAAATATGAAAAGTTATGTTTTCAGAAAATGGCAAATCTCAAAGTCAGAGTTAAGACCATTGGGTATTACGGTATTAAAATTGAAGATAAACTTAATTTCCTCTTTCCCTAACTTATTTATGTAGTTTCCTCCTCTCCAGTCTTTTTTGACCAGTTTTATTGCACAGAAAACAGACCTTTAGGGTCTTGGTTATGTATGGTTTTAAAGTGTTGGGAGACGGAGTGTGTTTCTAGGCCTTTTTTAATGTTGCGGACGTGTTCTGCAATTCTTACGTGAAGGGGCCGTATTGTTCTCCCTATATAGAGGAGATTGCAAGGGCATTTTAAGGCATAGATAACTCCTTTAGAGTGACATGTGAGATGGTCTCTTATTTTGTATGGTTGTCCTATCAATTCGCTTATATCTGAAAGATGTCTTTTTTTACTTTTAGTTTCTCTACATGGTAAACAGTCTCCACAGCCGTAAAAACCTATGAGGTTATTGATAAAATGATCTGGTTTGGCAGTTTCTAAGTTACTTTTAACTAAAATATTTTTTAAATTCTTAGTTCCTCTATAGATAATTTTCGGTTTTAAGGGTAAGATATCTTTTAAGATGGGGTCATCTCTTAGGATGTTCCAGTGTTTTTGTATAGCATGTTGAATTTTTTTTAGTACTTCCATTATATTTACATATGAAAGGAATTTCATTGTATTTTTGGGAGGTATTCTTAGAATTATATTTCAAAAGTTGGTTCCTTTCTAAAAGTTTAACCTCTTCCATATTTTTCTTCAAATCTCTTTCTTCATAGCCTTTTTCTAAAAATTGATTCATTAGATATTTAGATTGCTGTAAGTATTCTTCTTCATCCTTACAGTTTCTTCTTATTCTCTTAAATTGTCCTTTCGGGGCGTTGGTGAGCCAGGGAGTGTGATGACAGCTAGTCCTATTGATATAGCTGATGGTGTCCTCAGGCATGAAATAATTCTTAGTAAAAATAGTCGATTCTTTAACCCCTTAAGGACACATGACATGTGTGACATGTCATGATTCCCTTTTATTCCAGAAGTTTGGTCCTTAAGGGGTTAAACATGGTAATGAGTGGATAAGACTTTGAGATACACAGATCTCCAGTTTAGCATCATGTAATGAGACACACAGGTCTCAGCGTGGATTGGAAACAAAGTATAGAAGTACATAATTATAAAACATCTGTTACAGTTTACAGATATCCCGCACCTTGACTTATCTGAGTGCTGGTGCAATGTGCCTGTGACGGACCACCTGGCACCCTGACCAGGTGTCTCCGCCAATCGCTGCTTCCTAGTAATCCTTGAGTACTATAAGCACCACACCAGACACCATAACCACCGTAAACCCACAGCCAGTGTTACAGCTTGGTTGGGGTCTTGCTGTCCTCCACCCACCCTGGACCCAAGACCAGGATCCAGCTTCCAGTGGGTAGACCTCTCCTAGCCCAGAGAGTAAAGCAGGCTGCTCTTACTAGAGCGAGTGTTGTAATCCAAGGGTGTTATAGAATTCCCCAGAGTGAATATAGCTGTCCCCTCCACACATGAGACTAGGCTCTATGTTGAGGGTGAAGGGGAACTCTTTGTATAGGAGCCACAACTGGCCTTATATGCAGGTCCCCATGCAAGTGGTTTTATTCCAGGGGCATTCTCCACTGGACCTGAGAGGGGACTATGACAAAGCACACACTGGTACATTGGCTCTCAGGTCCAGGACACTTCCACACACAACACGGTAATCCCTCCCCTGTGCCTGTGAGATAATTGAGTCAGGAACTGTACTAAACTCAATTATCACCAGGCACACAAAACATACATTTTAACAACATCCTGAAAGAACCCCTAAAACACACGGAAACTCCACAAAGTCACATCCCCTGATAGCCCCAATCTGGGGGACCAACATAGGGGTTCGGGATTTCCATGGAGGTCATAATTTGACTGACCACACATGAGGCTCCTAATCAAAAGAGTTCCATGAAATAAGGCTGTGTGGTCGGTCTCTTTCGGGGTTCACAATACAACAGAAATACGAATGCAACCAGTTCGTATGCACACTTAACAGAAAATATATGTAAAATATAACACACGTGCTCCCCCAAAGGTAAGAATAAATAAAACTATTTTACCAAATGTATGATTGTAAGAAGACCCCTCTGATCTTCTTAATACAAATATAGAAAATACAATCTGCAAAAAAGAATAAACAAGAAAGTATATAGTGTAGTAAATTCAAACACCAAATTGTGCGCTGATTAAGATTGCACTCACAAGATGAGAGAGCAGTATAGGCATATAACGGTCTTGAAACTTGACGGACAACTGTGATCTTCTGTTTCATCTTAAAAAGGGAGAGACACACAGACCATAGTGTACCAATATAATGAGAAAAAATTGTATTTATTTGATTGCACTCACACAATAAAGGTTGTAATCCAGCTTGTCAACAATACTCGGGGAATCACGGTGCCGGCGTCCTTCTTCCCTTATCAAGTAATGACATAAATACAAAATAAAACAATCTATGAAAATAAAACAATATACATAAAAATAAAATATAAATAGCAAGTTGCTGTCTTGGTCCCTCCGCCCTACGCGTTTCGTCTCAAACCGAGACCTTCATTTGCCCCTGTGGAAGTCTCGGTTTGAGACGAAACGCGTCTTTAGGATACAAAGATACTCCTTTCCCCCCCATTAACTGGAGGTACAACAACCACTTTATTGCCCACACACGGCTTTTAAGCATACCCCATGCAAGGGATATAACACACAGCATACAGTGTCCCCTCCCAGGGTCCTCCCCCTCCCCTAACATGGTTAAGGACTTTGTCCCTTTGTCTTAAAAAGCCTGCCACCCACACACAGGGTTTTCCACATCCAGGGACAGGGGGGTCTTCATCTCATGAGCCTCTGTAAGTGAGAGTGCAAGTGTGAGAAAAAGGGACCATCCCTTTGTCTCCCAAGCACAGAGAGCCCGTCCACGGGAAAAGAGCTGGTCTCTTTGTCCCAGCAGGCACCGCAAAGCCCAGCAAACTCGCCAGTGCCCCAGAAGTGCCCACACCAATCTCAGCGGTTCCTTCCTTGACCAGGTTCCGCTTGCAAGTCTCTGTGTGGAACTCTGCAAGGGAAACGTCTCCTTTTGGGACGCGAATGCTCCCCCTGTATGGCATTCGCCTGAACGAAATGATGGCCACCCAGGAGAGTATTAATTAATTACT